ATACACAAATTCTAATCCTAGCTCTATCATTTTTAGAACATCATTTGAATTTCCTAAATCTCAATTTTCTTTATTTGTAAAATGAAGTAAATATACTTACCTTGTAAGTTTGAGTAGATTAAATGGGATATTCATGTGTCCATTCTTTGTAAATATTAAATTGTTTTATTCGCATAACTATTGAGCACATTTGCATTGAATGCTGGGAACAGGGCCATCCACAGTTCTGAAGCTGCTCTGCTCTGAAGGACTGCACCTTCTGGTGGAGACAGGTATTCAGTGACTAACTGCACAATTCATAGTTTAATGGGTTCCAAAGTCTTGGTCAGGGGAACCTATCTTGGCCCACTCAGGGAAGTCAGGAAATCTTCTGGTGAACACTGAACTGAATCAGACTGGCCAGGAAAAGCTGGAGCAGTGTGGAGAACATTCGGAGCAAAAGAGGCAACAGACTGACAGACTAGGACGGGAGCTTTCTAGGTACCAACAGTGGTCATGAATTTATCTTATATCCAATGAAATGGGATGCCAATGAGTGCTGGTTTTTCTTTGTAACAGATTCTTAGAGAAGTTTAAGGTTCATAGACAAATCAAGCAGCGAATATGGGGAGTTCTAAAATGCACTTGGTCACCACACATGCACACACACACAGAGGATGTGTGTGTGTGTGTGTGTGTGTGTGTGTGTGTGTGTGTGTGACAGAGAGAGAGAGAGAGACAAAGAGACGGGGGGGGACAGAGAGAGACAGAAAGAGAGACAGAGAGAACCTTACTCTCTAACAATGTTCACCCAGTAAAATTGTTCCATGTTGCAATTAGGGAACCATCCCTGACATAGAAGAATCCTCCAGAAGCCCTACTTTACATTGCGGCTCCTTCTTGGTACATCAAGTTTTGACAAAGTACAAGGACACCACCCATCACTGCAGAATCAAACAGGCTCACCTGTCATAAGTGATTTTAGTTGAGGAAGGGTGCTCAAAATTGCATTTCAACACGAATTTTCTGATGACTGCATGGACAGTGAATAGAAGAAGCTGAGTAAGAGAATGTGTAGGAAGCTGGCATAATGTAGAAAAACATAAAAATGTGTATTTAAATTTTGGGATAAGAAATCAAGACCTAATGAGGGAAAATGGAGCAGAGTTCAGCACAGCGGGAAGGCATGTGGCCCTTCCTCCAACCCGAAGTTCCCTGAGCCCTGTGTCCAGCAGCTCAAACCAAGCCTCAGTGGGGGGAGGGTCTAGCCTTCGGTCTCTGACCACCACGATTCATCACATGTGATGCCATCACACCTTCTCCTGAGCAGGCCTTTGGTTTACTTTTAGCACGAGTGAAGTGCTCAGAAAGCTGCCCAGCTCATCTCAGGCTAGGTTTGACATTCCTGATTGGCTTTTGTTCCCAGGTCAAGAACACTGGCTTTATGATGTTTTTGTTTTTTGCAATGTACCCTCCATAGAAACCAAGGAGGAGTGGCAAAGATTTACGCAGAAGGAATAAGTCACATTTAGCCACAGAAGGGCAAAGGGAAAACACTCCTGAGGATGGAAACAATTTCATCTTGAATCTCAGATTTTGTAGGAAAAAGTTGGGCAGATTGGTGTATAACAGCAAAGGCAAAGCTTTAGCATAATGAAAAGAATTATCAAAATTACACACCTGCCAGAAATATCTATTTATTTTCAGGAAGAAATATTATGTTACTAAATGTTCAAAACTTGACTTTGGGAGTGAATCACTGTTTGACAAGTATTTATTGAGTGTCTACAAATGTAAACTAGACAAACCCTTTCAATCTGCTCCTAATTACCTTTCCTAAGCTTGAACCAGTGCCAAAGGTTGCCTCTCCCCTCCCCCACTCCCTCTCTCTCCCCTCCCCCACTCCCTGTCTCTCCCCTCCCCCACTCTCTCTCCCCTCCCCCACTCCCTATCTCTCCCCTCCCCCACTCCCTATCTCTCCCCTCCCCCACTCTCCTTTCCCCTCCCCCACTCCCTCTCTCTCCCCTCCCCCACTCCCCCTTTCCTCTCCCCCACTCCCTCTCTCTCCCCTCCCCCACTCCCTCTCTCTCCCCTCCCCCACTCCTCCTTTCCTCTCCCCCACTCCCTCTCTCCCCTCCCCCACTCCCTCTCTCTCCTCCCCCTCCTGTCTCTTAGTCTCCTCTCTTTCTTTTACTTTCCATATGTTTATTCAAGGGTATATTGTTTTTATATTTTTTTCTACTTGAAAATATTTAGCTGAGTTTTTTGTCCCTAGAAGAGATTCTACAGTGGAATCAAGAGATGAGGTGCAGAAACCTTGAGGAGTTTCGTTGCAGGAATCCCATTGCCCAGCTCCCCTGATTTTATTTCTTCACTCTCCTTCGGCCTCCATCCCTGCCAAAAGGTCTTTAGACCCTCTCTTTCCTTCTTTGATTGGATAGATCTGGGAAGGAGGTGAGGCATTTTGAAATGGAAGAGGTATCAAAGAAGAAGAAATTCTTTAAAACACTTGCTCTGAAAGTGAAACACAGCAGCCCACATTCACAGATTGGCTCTGGGGCCTGCTCTCAGCCGTGCGATCACAGGCACATTAACTTCTCTGTGTTGCAGTGTACTCAGCAGCAAAGCCCAGGGCCTCAGACAGGTGTTTCTGCCTCCTGTGACTGTGGACACTGTTCCAGGAACGTGGGAATAGGACATGACAGTTACACTTCGATAAAAACTGGCAAGGGCAGAAAACTGTCCAAAAATCTGTGTCATCTCCTTCCAAATTCACCACTGTTCTCATCACCCCAGTGTCTGTATTAATGGAATCCATGCCACTAAGAGTGGGGTGCTTCAGAGCTTTGGGTGTCTGTGTGGATTACTCCCATTGGTACATGTTTCTCTTTCTCATTTTCTGGTCACTTTTCCTTGTCATTCTATTCTACTGTTTTTCTTTTTTTATGTATCCAAAATTCAAGTTTGTTTACTACTTAAATTCCACTCAATTAAAAATATCACAGGGTGCATTTCCCTGTTGAGGAGTTTATTCAGGTCGTATGGGCAGAGAAGCATGTAGCTAAAATCCTTGCATGGCTGTGTTAGCAGAGACTGTACTCCCTAAACGCACAGACAAGTTCATTTCTAACACCCTCTTATTAACAGCTCATTCATTAACCAATGGTTCCAGTAATCCAGGGAATTATTTTTCACTTTGCATCTTTGAAAAAGTATTGAAAGAAGAGGAACATGCTCATGTGCCAGTGACGTAGGTATGACAGGACAGAGTCTACTCATGGCAACAAGCCAGCCAGAAGCTAATAAGATGCTCCTACCACCCAAAGAAGCAGTCAGTATCATCAGTTAATTTGCGTTTCTCTTATCTGACAATTACCGAGTCCTTACTGTTCTCAGTGTCCGGGTGTTTTCAGCATGGTGGTGGGCAGCCACAGCAATTTAAGAGTATGGCGTGCATTACAAAAAAGGCCAAGGCAGTAGGAAGCACAGGGATGCCTGAGGGAGCTGTGGAATGCAGAGAGGAAAGGGAGGCTGGGCCCAAGCAGGCTGCTTCATGGAGGCAGCAGTGGGGCTTGCTGACTTGTTAAAGCTGGAGCAGGGAATAAGGCCAAGCCTCAGCCGTGTTAACCAGGGACAAACTATGCAGTGTTTGCAGTCAATCGGGGGCTATGCACAGATGCAGGATATTAAACAACGTCAAAGTTATGAAAATCAGAATTTTGTTCAATTTATGATGCTGCATTATAATTACAATCATTTCCTAAGTGCAGAACCTACAGAATTGCAACATATTCTTTAGGAGGCAGGAATATTCCCATTCTCTCTGTGATCCGAGTTATTTCCGCATGTGGTGTTTCCTTTCTCACTGTGGGTCTGTTGCCTCCACCTACGTCTGGATGCGTGTGCTTCTGTGAGTGTTTGACTTTGTTTTTGAAAACATCAATGTTCTACTAGCAGCTATGATATTGCCAAGGATTCTCCCAATTTGGAACATTTGTCTTGTAAAGGATACATTTCTAATTCATGACTAAACTTTATAACTCCAATTTGTTGGACCGTCTATTTTTACAATCATTCCATTATATCACAAAACATTGCAATGAATCTATGATCTGAGATACTAATGTCTTCAAGACCACTGATGATTCTTCTTGCCCAGATCCCAGCCAGGCTCTGGGGAACCCTTGTCTTCTGTTCTTTGGCCTACAGAGTCTTGAACTAACACTAGCATGGCGTCAGAGCTCAAGGCCACATCCTTAAGCTGTCCTTTCCCCCCTTACAGTGCCTACCTAAAGAAACTCAAGACTCCCAAGGAATTTTCTGCTTGTTTAGATGACATTGAAGATGGGGCCCCATGAGGAGGGCAGGAGCCAGACTTTGAGAAGTACCAATTAGCAAACCCAGGTGGATTCAGATGGACCCTCTGCCCATTTTCTGTAGTTTTTAATTCCCTGACCGCACTGAACTGGAACATCCCTCCCCATTTTTTCATTCCCCTTAAAAACACCCAGTCTCTTGGCCACTAGTCAAAGCTGAGTTATGTTCTTGTTCTCTCCTGTACTGCAATGTTGTATCCATGGTTAAAATCTGCCCTTACCACTTAAATGCATGTGTGGTTTTGTGCATCTTTGACATTGTAGCTTAACAGTAGTGTGTCACAACATAAGAACAACAAACAAACACAGAAGTGACTGCCATTAGAGCCCATGCCATGTGAAGCTTCCAAGGAAAGAGATACATACCAAGTTACGATATCACCATCAGCCTGCTCATTAAGTACCAATAGAGTTCAACTTCTGTCTTATCTTCATTAAGTCAAAAAAATAAGCACACATCAGCATTCCAGTATGGGCCTCCTCACTCCAGTGGATCATCATGACCATCCCGTACATGCAACACACTTTAGGACCAACCACCCGGAGAGCGCACATTTGAAATTCACACCTCACAGTCTATGCCTCCCAAGATCCCAGCCAGGCTCTGGGGAACCCTTGTTTTCCAGGTGGGGAGTCAGACCTTACCTCCCTTAGCCCGGGCCCAAAAATGCTGGCTCCTGCATAGATAGGCACGGCCTCATCTCTGCAGATGGCATTCCCATCTGACAGCAGACCTTCTTGAATCCACTGGCACTGTGCCCAGGAGATGAAAAACGCAAGCAGGACAGATTCAAGCCACTCTTGTCTTCTTAAAATAAGCAATTCATTTATTAGGGAGCAAGAGCTATTTTTAATAGCATTAGCAACTTGGCAGCTGTTTCCAAAATGGCCTCACAATTCTAAGAAGCTATGATTCATCCCAGGCCTGGCAACAGCCTGGGGACATGGAAATTCCATTGGGAGTTATAAATGTCAGTTTTTATGCTTGGAGCCCCAAAGTCCTCTGAAAAGTCAAAAGTGAGCATCTGCAAATTCCATGACAATAGGAAACAAGGGCCAGTGTTTAGTGGGTTGTGGGTTGAACAATCTCATGTTGCCCAGTACGAAATCACAGGCACCTGTGACGGAACCGCCACGTTCTCAAGTCTGTCCTCGGCATCCGGATATGATCATTCCTTTATAGCTGCTTCCTGGCAGATACTGATTGTTATATCTTCTTATACTATTTTTTCTTTCTTTTATTTTTAGGGTATATATACTCTAGAAAATAAAGAATGTGGCCTGGGGGACTTCCAAATGTTTTAATTTTTATTTGCTTTTCATTCTGGATATAAATTTTTTCAAAAAACACAAAGTATAGATAATGTAAAAGAAAAGTTCCCTGACCAACACATTTCCTTACTTGCATTAGTGGATTATGCCTTTGGTTTGTCTTATGTCAATTTTTTAATATATAAATTTATGTCATACTTAAGACAGATAAAGTAATCACTATTACTATTTTGTTTAATACACATCCAGAAATTTTCCTAGCATATGCATCCCCAAAAATATATTTTCATATGCATCCTTTTTATTTGTCTTTTGTATGTTTGTTTGTTTCTAGTGAAATTGTACTACATGCTGATCATATGTCCGCCCATACTGACACAATTGCCTTTATAATGGTTGAGGCTTCATTTCTTTGATGAAAGCACTTTCATGTATTTGACCTCCTTCTCTAATAGGTCAGTGCTTTAAATATCTCCACATTTAATGATCTCAACACATTCGTAAACTTCTACCAGAAGGATAACAGATTTGAACCCAGTGTGGGCAACCTGGAGATTTAGTGAGACCCTGTATCAAAAACATAAAAAAGGTCTAAGGTTGTAGCTTAGTGCAAAGGCTGTGGGTTCAATTGTCAGCTCCAATAAAATAAAATAAAATAAAATAAATTTGAGGAAAATACACATGATTCCTGAGCTCACAGGTAAGGAGGCACCATGACTGTCTCTTTCCTGTACAAACCCTGAAGAACTCCTTAATGTAAACAGTGCCATTTCCACCTTCTTGCCAAAGCCAGGAATAGTCTGCCCCAGACACAGGAGGATTGTGACCACCACTAACACACAAGAAGCTGTTGAAGCATGATTATTATGATATTGTATTTTTGTGAATTTTTTCTAATTTTTATGAGACTTTCTGCAGAAATCTAAAAAAGGTAATCAAAGTAGATTGTGAGCTCATTGCTGGTTTTCAGAGAGATGTGGAGATTTAAGCTCCCACTTGCCCATACCAGACTGGATTTGGGGGCTCATTTCCCATTTGTCCTGTGGGGCTGAACACCCTGAATTGGTTTTCTTTGTTAATACAGTTTTCTCCCTAAGTAATTATAGACACAGAGCCTTGATTTCTTCTTCCTGCTTCCAAACTTCCATTTCCACATCATGGTCAGAGTAATAAATAGGGTAAAGTGAGATGGAAAACAAATTATGAATGTCCTCCAGCTGCTGCCTGATGGAAACCAGCAAATCCAATTTCAAATAAAGCAAGGAAAGTTGGTTTTTAGAGGTAACCAAATAGAAACGGAGCTCTATTGATGATATTGTCACTGTCCAAAGACTCAAGCTTTCCTGTGGAATCTTTTGAATCGCATTTGATACAGATGTGGTGCATCAGGACCAGAGAACGACCATGCTGGGGAAGCCTTGGCGTGGAGCTAGCTGGTAGCAGGTGGGCATTTACTGGAGTAAGACAGAGATACATAACAACTCAGCTTCAACCACAAATGCCATCGATTCTGCCACTCAGGCTCTTCACAAGTAAGGCCACAGGCTTCCATACAAGTATATTTCGCCAAAACAGAACACTTGAAGTAGCTGTCACTTTATTAAAATCAACTCATAAAAGATATTTACAGGAAACAGCTTCCCAGCACATTCAAACATTGCATAACATGATTTCCACACAGCTTTTCTCAGAAGTCTGTCTTGTGTCAAAGCAATGCATAATAACCTCGTGTTTCCCTGCAGAGGATTTGCGAGGGCATTTTAATTTGTTCTTCAGTTGCCAGTGTAATCCCTTATTATAAAGTTTTCTTAGAAAACATGATGGCCCTCTTTCAGGGAAATAAGCAAAATACAATATAGTTTTCTTTTTTTTTTAATTTTATTTAAGGAGAAAAAGGAAAAAAAGCAGAAAAAGGGTACAAGTTATTCAGAATTTCAGAAAAAAATAAACAGTAGGAAATCACTAGTTAATGGATTATATATTGTCATCTTAGAAATATTTGTTCAAGTTACAAAATTAAAGCATATAAAGTGGACATTCAAACAATGAGACTGCAAACAGTTAGTTTTCAAAGGTACAAAGCTAGAGAAAATTAGGAACTTAACTGCAAAAATATTAGTAGCATATATTCAGATATCCAAATAGAAAGTAAACCCAGAAATTATGAAGAAGATGGTTTTAAGGTCCTCAAGTGTCCTGAGGTTGCTGACTTGCATCAAACAGAATGAAGACAAAGTTCTGGGAAAGAATCTGCCAAGTGCCAGCAGCAAACAGGGCAAGGGACAGACAACCTTCCTCCCTCAGCCACTCTCTTGCAAGAGACACATGCTCAGCCCCTCTGCAGCTCTGGGTATGGGCAGTGTTTATCCCAAACTGGACACTTGTCCTCCAAACAGAGCCAGCAGAAACTTGTAGTCAGTGGGGTGGGACACAGATAAGGACAGAATTCTGGAGGAAGCCCCTGACCCAGCAGCTCACACTGCCCTGGCTAAGCAGCCAAGGACACTTATGGAATGTTGACTCGCTGGCACATTTTATAATGCCTTGTAGTGGACAGAGGTATTATAAAAACACAAAGTCAAATGGAAGTGAAATGACAGGACCAGGAGCAGGTCCTATCTCACAGGGATAATTCTGAGCAATGTGATCCACAAAGAACACAGGTCTATGTCACAGTCAAGTACCGAACCAAGGGGCAGCAATGGACATGACACACGGGCATGCTCTATGTCCAGGTCAGCTTGATCACTGCTGTTCCACACCTCAGACTCTCTCCAGCTTCCTAGTGGGAGTGTCCAGCCCCACCCAATCCTGCTCTCCTCACCCACTGTTCATTTTTGCTCCTGCTGAATGAACTTTGCTTCTGCTTCTGCTCCTAGACCTGGCCCAGTGTCCCTGCTCTGTAGGAGGTCAAGGACAACAGAGCTGAACCAAAGGCCTCTCCTTACAGACCAGCATGAGGAGCAGTAAACATAGTGGCCCTTCTGGGAAGCAAGTGACCACACACCCTAATTCAGAGCCCCCTCTTAGGAGCTGGCTGTGGCAGCTATGTACAGCGAGAATGCACCAGACAGCCAGAGCCCAGCGGGCAGCCCAGACTAACTAAGAGAAGATAGGTAGGACTCATGGAGGCCACTGCACAGCAAGCAGTAACCCTGCTCACCTCCCTTGCTTTCTCCCCTAGTGATGAAAACTGAGTTCGTTCAGCACAGTGAGACAATGAGGGCCTCAGGGATTCCTGCAGCTGAGCAGTGGAGAGGAAGGCTTAACTTAAGGGTGTTCCAGAGCTTGACCTACCCAGACCTGCCCAACTTCAGGACAGGGAGTATAGGCCCTTCCCTTCACCACCAGCACAGTGACTGCTTGTGAATTCCCAGGAACCCAGAGAGAATAAAGGAAGAAGAAAAACTATAAAATCTGAATAAACCTGAAGCAAATAAAGATTGGACTAATAATAAAAACAATCACAGTAGCCAAAAGTGTAGGAGTACATGACTTTCTGGTGAATTTTTCTGATTTTTTTTTAATACTACTAATTGAACCCAGGGTCTTCACACTTTATTTTTTATTCTAAGACAGGGCCTTGCCAGGTTGATAAATTGCCCAGGCTGCTAAATTGCCAAGGCTGGGCTCAAACTTGCAATCTTCTTGGCTCAGCCTCTCAGAACACTAGGATTACAGGTATGCATGATTTACCCTAGTTTAGCAAACCTTGACCAAAAAAAAACCAGCAAGGGGCAGGGCTGGAGAGGTCACTGTGAAAGCCTTTAGTTCAATCCATGGTACCACAAAAAAGCCTTTGGAGCTGATAAATGAATTCAGTGAAGCTGATGAGCATAATACGATAATCAATAGAGCTTTTTCTTTAAAACCAGAAATAAAAACACTATCCTTAAAGAATTTAAGAAAATTCCATTTATAATCTCATCCAAAAAAGAACAAAATACTTAGAAATAAGTTTAACTAAGGAGGTGAAAATGTTATATCTTGTGAAGTATAAAACACTGCTGAGGGAAATTAAAGAAGACCTAAGGGAAATAATCCCATGTTTGAGGAAGAAAATACTTTTTTAAAAATCTGAGCACTATCAGAAACTTCCAAAGTTAGTAAATCCCTGTCAAAATTTTGTGGTCTTCTTCACAGGGCTAGAAAAGCTGATCCTCAAATCTGCATGGTATTTTAAACTGTATGTAATAATCAAAATAATTTGAACAAAACAATAAAGTTAAAAGACTTGCTTTTTCTAATTTCTAAACTTCCTATAAAGCTCTAATACTCAAAACAATGTGCTAATGATATAAGCATTAACACATAGATTCTTGGAATAGAATCCAGAGCCTAGAAATCAATTTATACATCTATGACTGACTGATTTTCAACAAATGTGCTCAAACCATTGGGCAGGGGTGGGGGTCTTCAACAAATGGTCTTTAACATCTGCATAGCCACATGCAAAAGAACAAATTTAAGCTTCCACCTCACATCATACATAAACCATTACTCAAAGTGGGTCAATTTATAAACATCAGACTTGAAACTATAAAAATCTTAGAAGAAACCACCGGGTAAAGACCTCATGACCTCAATTTGGCAATGGATCTCAAGCACAACACCCAAAACACAAACCACCA